AGTAATTACATACATGTAGCCGTTATTGTCCTCTCTGCATACAACACTAGTACTGTCGCCAAATCGCAAAATGTCAATGTCATTTCCGTAAACCACTGAGGTTTAAACGTTCTTTATTTATTATTCAGTAATATTAATAAAAAAATGGCATCACCTGCTATTGAAAGGTCACCGTGCGTATTCTGTAATATAGTTAACAAGTTAGAAAATACGGAATTGCTTTTCGAAGACGACGAAGTTTGTGTTTTTCGTGACATTAAACCTGCAACAGGATTTCACGTGTTAACTATTCCTAAAAGACATATAGACGATGTTAAAAGTCTAACTTCCGCCGATAAACAATTGGGTAAGCGCGCTAGTCTATAATAATATTGATTCTGCTTGGTGCCGTATACAACGTTCCTTCGGGATATTAATTGTTAAGTGCCGCAAAATCATTCACAATTTTAAACGCAAGTTTTGTGCATTCCTTGTAGTAGTAGAGCATCGAGTATATAACGAGAAACAGAGACGAATTAAGGGCCATCCATCCCTGGCAACTCATCAGGTAAATAGGCCTTATATAACTTTTAAATATTAATTCTCGTTTGCACTGAAATCACAAATCGGAGAGCTGAAATAGTACAGCGCCAACAACTGACCTGTGTGTACGTCTTCGTATATTCCAAAAATATTCTGTATTTATTTTAATAAAGTTATCTCTAACTAGGGGGGGCTGTTCCATTAGGTGGTGTGGGAAAAACTGCATAACATCACACAAAGAAACAAACAAACTGAAAACAAAGCTAACTAAATCCTCATTTCATTGGTAATTAAATATTAAATATGTAATTCTTTAATTTTTGTCCATTATAGCAAAGCTCAAGTTAAACTGGTCGTTTTGAAGTGAAACAATTGACGACACCCGTCAATTGTTTCGAATTCGGGCTGGCCAATCAGAGCGCAGTTGTTTCAATAATGATTTGGCAGAATAGTTTTCAAATTAAATGACATTTCCTCTCTATTTCTGGTTATATACTCGATGTTATACTGCATCTTGTCTCTATTTCTGGTTATATACTCGATGTTATACTGCATCTTGTCTCTATTTCTGGTTATATACTCGATGCAGTGGGGCTCCTTGTGAAAGAGTTTGTCCTGGAAAATACTGCCACCTTACCTAGCAGCAGAACTAGCAAGCATTACTGCATTTTGGTTTTGAAGAAAGTAGTTGGCCACGACCGAGCTGCTGTCAGCGGCTGCTTAGTGCGGCACCACTACCGGCAAAAACAAATGCGTTAAAATGTATAAAGCACGCCACGAGGCGCCGCTCTTAGTGACATCGACCAGCGGTGAGCAAGTGATGCATTCAGGCATGGTTACAGAAACAAAATATTTTATATTATTGGGAGAGCAATATGTGTGAATTAGTGACAACCCTTCTGGTTTTAATACAGTGTTTCAACGGTACATGTACATGTTGAAAAATATAATCAAAACTTTATACAGTTATTCGTGTGTATTCATAAAACTTCGTACAAGTTACAGTAGTTGCTTTTACCGTTCTTTATTCTTTACTGCTCATTATTTAGTCAAAATATCGGATTTAAAGAACCACCATTTTAGATAATGCCATGTCTATCCGCTGCTGCCGCCACCCAGCACGTCGTGTCGCACTTAGCCAAGCCGAAAGAGCGCTGGGGAAATTACAGGCACATTAGACTTGTCCACTTAAGTCTCAGGGTGATGGGTGCTGCGATAGCGCCACTCAGATCTTCAGATCTCAGATTAAAGCTCTGAGTGGCACTACCACTGTTATAGACAAGTGTGTAGTTTACCATCACGAGCACAACTTATTTGTCCCCTCATATGATATTATAAAATAAAAATCAACGTGACAAATTCTAGTATATTATTTTGTTTACATATGAAATCAAGATGTATTTTGTTTTTCTGTTTTCAGTGGCAAAGATGCTCCGTACAGCAAAGGAACTTCTGGCAAAAAACAACCTAAGCGAGGATGATGCGAGATTCGGATATCATTGGCCACCTTTCAGAAGTGTGAAACACTTACATCTGCATACAATAGCTCCGGAAAGTGATATGGGGTATATAGCACGGATGATTTTTATGAAAAACAGTTACTGGTTTGTATCGGTATGTATTTTTTTTGCTCATCGTATAATCATGCGTTCAGTCATATGACTATGAACAGGTGTTGCGAGATTAGTGACATGTACAGTCCCTCCAATTGCAGCTGGACTTTCAAACTAGTTGATACAATTCTAAGATTCTTCACCTCTTAAGACGTCTCATTGAGTCAGGGATAGTCAGTTGCCCTGCTAGCAGGTTAGGGTGGTGATGCAGTTGCTTTTTGTACTTACTAGCGTTATATCGAACTTCTTCCTTTACTGTGTTAATTTCGAGTTCTTAGGTTTTCGCGATTGTTACACATAGGAAATGAAACTATTTTTCCGGAGTTAAATCGCGTATATTTGTTTTTTCAAACAAACCAACGTTACGGGCCTTTTACAGGTTCCAGGGTCACAGTTGACTGAGGTGTTTTCAACCAGTCAATCATCAGTCATGTCTAATATTGATGCAAACCACCCTATTTTTTCACTATAGTTACAATAGTTATTAATTAAATACCTTATTTTTAATTTTACAAAGAAAACATTCCAATTTACGCTGCATTAAGTTTTACAAATTGAAAGTCAAAGTTAACCGTGACCATTGGACCTGTAAAGGGACCGAAACGTCGGTTTGTTTGGAAAAACAAATATACGCGATTTAAATCCGGAAAAATAGTTTCATTTCCAAAGATTTGGTAGGTCAATGTTGAGGAAGCAATCTTCAGATCTTACTTAGTATTAGTGCGATATTTGAATGGCTGTCAAAGCTGAATGCCGTAAGTCCATACTGGTTTAAATTCAAATTCAAATATTTGTTAGTAACAATTCTATAAGCTAAGTTAGTAGAAGCAAGAAGAACATTTATAATACATTAGATTGAATTACATAATTATTATAAATACATTATTATATGTTCACGTGCAAACTCGATGAACCTACGGAAAACAGCCGAGTCCATTCTTCCTGATATCATCCTCAGGATACCATTGGTGCTCCCACGCAATCGCAACATCTGTGACGCACTTTTTTTGCGCACGATTGCGTAAAAATCATCAACACACGCATCCGCAAACATGCCAGAGGCGCTGCAAAAGCGAGGAAGCCTCAACAGAACCCAAAAGCTGTTATTGTGCTGTGTGCAGTTGGTCCACAGTGCACCTGTATAAAAACAGTGGCAGTAAGCTCTGGAAAGAGTTATTTTTACATTTATAGGGCACTTAGGAAACCTCTGATCCAACATGTTACCGCGCATTTCAACGCCTGCGCTTCCTCTCAACATCATCACCTCCAAGATTTTAACTAATGATGTGTCCTAGGTATTTAAACCGAGAGACACGATTCCATGGTACACCATTTAGAAGAAGCGGTGGAATGTTATTTAGGTCTCTAAACTCGCTCTTCTTTTCATTGTACCTTAGTCCACGCCTCATGGCATAAGTGTCACACACATTCAGCCTATTTCTCAGACCACTGGTCGATGGGCTCAGGAGCACCATGTCATCAGTATAACTGATGTTAACTGAGGTATTTATTAATACAAAATGAGGTATTTATTAATACAAATATCGAACACTCAGAAAAAATTCCTTCGGTCCGGCCGGATTCGAACCGATGTCTTCTAGCGTACCGTGCCAGACGCTATACCAACTAAGCACTAATAACAAACTACTGGAGTAATTTCACTTAAAAATAAATGAATATCAATTCATCTCTAACCAGGGCTGGTAGCTGTAAAGACTAATTCGAAGAAACCAATTCGGCTACTAGGGTGTTGATGACGAAAAAAATTAAAAGACTAAGTTCTTGTCGAAAATTTCAATAGTATTGTACCATTCCTGATTCTGCATTAAGTGGAGCAATTTTTAAGATCATTAGCGAATTCAGTTTCATACAATTTTTTTTCACACTAATTGTTCAAAGTTAATGTGTAACTTTTTACAAGGGTACGAGGTATACCAAATTAATAACTTTTTTCATATTTTATGATATTTCTCAGTAAAATATTAGTTGCAGTACCTGGAAAAACTATTCAAAATCCCCGAAATACAAAAATAACAACCATCTGGAGCGAGCCCTGGCAATAGTATCATAAAACCCAACAAAAAAATTGAGTAAATCCAAAAAAATAAAAATGTGCCAATATCTCGAAAACCAAAAGACTTTTATTAAGGTCAAATTATTTTTTTCTGGTAGGTATAGAGCTCACCTACGTACAGTGTCGCTCTGTCATGGAAGTTTTGAGACACCCTGTAACTGTAACTGTGTCACGAGACAGCACAGTATTCCTTTTAAGCAGCCCGTATAATTCACGAAATCGGATGTTGAGTTCGTCTCTTTTCGCTCGGATATGATTCCTCCAGATCAGCCTACGATCCAGATGCATTCCTAGGAGCCTAACTTGACCAATGGGCACTGGGCAATCTTCTCTTTTCAAAATGAAAATTGAAATGAAAAATTGTAGCCAGTCAATATAATTTAATCCAAAAACATTGAATAAGTTTTTTTTGCATTCAATCTTTGAATCTCTTGTCTTTTCGACATTTTAAGGGAAGTGTATCTTTGATAATAATAAATCTTTATTACGAACATCATTCATGGATATGAAGTGTTAGTAACAATAAACTTATAAATTAAGATAATACTTACATTCTACTACGGATTTTGTGGTAAATTACTGGTTTCTTAATATCTGTAATAATAATGGTTGGTTATACAAAATCGAACACAAAAAAAATCTGTCAGAAATCTGAAAGTTTTTCTTCACTCGACCAGGGAACTTAAATGTACCAGACAGTTGACAAAAGGTGTCGCTTTAAATTGTAACGAATATTCTGAATGAATTAAATATTCTTTATTGCATATTAAAAATTACAATGACAATACAGAACAGTAATGCTACTTGCAGAGTAAGTCAATATACAACAGGCGGCCTTATTGCTATGTAGCAATTTCTTCCAGGCAAACTTATACCAATGTCCATTTATTTTTGTGTAATTTAATTACTCTTCTAGTGTAACCATTAGTAAGAAAATTGTTTTTAAATATTTTTTCTTTTTTTTTTCAGCCTGAATATGTTGAGAAAATGATCGAAGAATCAAGCTGAAGAATCCATTAGTTCGTGCAGATAAGAAAAATGTGATTTACTATTAATGTATCCAAATTTTGAACCAAAATAATTACGACCATTATTTAATAATAACATTGATAATTTTTATCTATCTGACTATGTTCAGTCATGGTGTTCTGTTGGTGCTTTTTTGTATAATATCAAATGACGGAACGTACAAGTCGTGCGCCTGATGGTAAGGTACACGCCTGTCCGTAACAGTTGCAGTGCCACTCAGAGTTTTAATCGCAAAGATCTGGTGAGCACTACCACTGCGCCTGTCATCCTGACACTTAAGTTGACAAGTCCCATGACAAGTGCCTGTAATTTCACCAGAAACAAACCTTTCAAAACCGGAACACAGTAATGGTGACATTACTGCTTGGCGGCAGAAATAGGTAAGGTTGCTAAATAAATAAGGTGCTGATTCCTTCGAAGATGACTAATGTAGCCAACCTTCACGGCAAACCCCCGTGTACATTGAAGGCACTTGAGTACACCACATAATTATAGTTGATGGTGGGTGGTCTTTACGCCGAACTCGTGGACTTGCCTCTTGACAAACCCTCGCCATTCAGAGCGCAGTGCTGTCAAATCTTCTCATATCGCACTGCTATTACAATAGTGTTATAACTCAAAATATGTGAAATTCAAGATTATACCATTGTTGAACGTCAAATTTGATTCTCTACACGCCAATAAAACCGTCGTTAGAATATTGTAAAAAAAAAACAACTCAAAGATATCTACTTAACTCAAAATGAGACACGCCTTATGTAAGGACAGTTTTGGCCAGAACTAGCTGTTCTGGCCAAAATTGTCTTTATTGAAAAATATGAAATTATTTTTTCTCATTTGTTTTTAAATATCTATATTTGGCAATTAGGAAATAACTTATACATAAATTCACACAGATCTTTCACGGGAAGCGAGTAATTTGTTTTTCGTCGATTCTGGGAAAATACACTTTTTGAGTTAATACACATGTCTCTCAACCCTGACATTGGCAAAATCGTCGCGCAAAACGACGGAGCCATAGACACAAAAGTTGAAGTTGAATATTGTATTAACAGTGCGAATGTCGCTTCTGTACGTCTTTATATCTCTATGGTCAGGTGGCTTGTACACTGAATTCCATGATGTCGCCATCTCTGAGATCACGGGTTTGATTCCCGGCCGGGTCAATATATGTACAAAAAGTTTCCAACATTGCCTCGGGTCTGGGTATTTGTGGTACCTACTTTGGGATCAGAGCAACATTGTGATATTGTCTATTTATAATAAGTTAAACCTAATGCAATATATTTGATACCTTTTTCACTTCTCATGCTCTTAAAGTTCGTATTTATACTGGGTGTAGGCTGCATAAAATAGGTATTATGTTCTAGTTTCATTAATGAAAAAAAAAACAACACATTAAATATGTCTAATTGTTGTAATTTTACATTATATTTTAATTAAATAATCGTTTATTTGTAATATCGCTGTTTAATTTCCTCGCAATCGAAATGAAAAACAGAGTGTATAACTCGTTCCCTCGACTTAAGTATCCACTCTCGCCAGCGGCTCGGGTAAAATGACGCGTTTTATGTACTTGTTGTACAATCTACTATTTAGTAGCAGTAGCTTTGGAAAGAGTTTGTTGAGGGAAGTACTGCTACCTTACCTATTTTTGCCGCCAAGCAGTAATGTGTGCATTAGTGCACTCCGGTTTTAAATGGTAATATTTTGTCTTACTTTTTTTTAGTATTAATCATTGACTTACAAAGAAATGGACGACGGGTCTAATACAAAAACCACGAAAAAAACGTCCCAAGTCAACCTATTTAAACGTAGTGACATGTAAAGGAATATGAAAAAGCTAAAACGTTGAATTTAAATTGTAATGTCATCGCAGTACTGTCTAATTTTGCTTGCTTCGCTGTCAGTCGAACAAACGAAGACTAAAGCGTGAATGACGCTCTGTATACGATTTTAACGCCCTATAAGTTCGGACACTTTTTAGCGCGGACCCGACGTCCATATAATTGTAAGTCAATGGTATTAATGTGAAATTTACTTACTTATATAAATCACTGAAATATGTAAAAAATAGTGTCATTACACGCAGGCATAATCAACCGTAATGGCCTAAATCACGCCCACGGGATTTTTCATTGCAATGGATTTATTAACATAATCGCACTAAACTTCTCTTATACATCGACGTAAAATCTGATATGTACCTATTTCGTATAAGATTGAAGCATAGAAAAAAAACTAAACATTTGCAATTTAACTACGTTTGTGTTTTATTATTAAATTAATTTTATAAATTGTGCAATATTTTTAGTATTTTGAACTTACTTATTTTATGTGTAATACATCATGGCTGTATGGGTTTTTGCCTTTTACAACATTTGTATTATCTATGGAATAGACATGGGGACATTACATTTCTATCTCCGTGACTGTCGTTCCGGTTCCAAAAAAATCACAGTGATAAATCATCGTGATTTTGTCACGACTGTTACTTCCGTGACCTTGTCACGCCTATAACTTACATCTACGGTATACGGATTTAGCCAGCGGCTTCTTTCTAATACTTATAGCCGTTTTTTATACAATGATTTAAGTTTTTATTCCCTTTGTAATAAGTTTCAATTCAATTCAAAAGTTGATTTTGTATTTAATGTAATTTTGTTTGTTACTTATTTCATGCGAATCTTTGGATTGTTAAAAATAGCAATAAAGTGTAATGTAATTATATTTCTAGTAGAATACACAAAGCAGATTATATATAAATCTAAAATACTAACTCTTCCTATAATAAAACAAATATACAAAAAGGTTCATAATAACTGCTGCAGATTTTTTTCATCCGCCCTTTCTAGTAGTAATAAGCACCTACGACCCTTGTGAGTGAGCAAAGAAAGTCATCTTATTTCATTCACTCCCATCGCCGAAATGGTCCGATTTGAAGAACTACAACGAGTGGCGCGCCCAGTCACCACGGAACGGAGATCGCGCATTGTATCAAATACGTATGTCGTGATGTGAGTAACGGGGATAGCTATTGGAACGGAAGAACGCCTATGTGACTTTGGAACGTCGTTCCTTCGGAACGAGTCACGATGATACTGTTTGACTGCGGATCATCGTGATTTTTTCATCGTGACGTTATTTATCACCCATCTCTACTATGGAAGAATAGCTGATAATCTGTTTATAAAAAAAACGCTGCATTTACAAAATCCGTAATTGTTGTGATGTCGCCACATTTATTCATACAAGAAATAAATTATCATTGTATTTATTTCCTCGCAAATGTATGAAAAGCATTGTATGTAGTACGGGCGGCTTTCAGGCCTTCATCCTTCACTTCGGGCTTTTAATAGATTCTCGTTAGTAATTTCTAATTTATCGCCCCTAAAGTACCAGCACGCTTTATTGGCCGTTTTGAGGTTTTTTCGCTCATCAAGTTTCGTATTAATTAATAACTACGTTGAAGGAGCTATTGTTGTCAATAGTGACGTGCAGTACAATTTATGGAATGTACCATTTTACGACACAACTCGGTATTTGTTTTTCGAAATGTTTTAAAAATGAAATCTCATACGATCGTCACTTATGAGATCGCTGGCCAGCACAACTTCTACCTCAGGCAAACTCGCGTCAAAGCTCAATGCAAAACAAAGCAGTTTCGAATTGACGATATTTTAAGTAAACATATTTATTTTCGTTTTATTAAAACTTTTTAATCATCTACCCCTTGCAATATTAGTTATAAACTTAGAATAATAACGCATAGAAACCTAGTCCGCACACGCTAAGTGAGGCAAATTGAAGCGCGCCCAATAGGCCTACACGAGCGGGCGGGTGCTCAAGGTCGACTTGCACCGCGAACAGATCAAGAATTTTAGCTAAAAATGACGAAATGTGCGGTAAATGAGTGTAAAAATACGTCAGACAAACATAAAATAGATACTAACATCACATTCCACAGGGAAGTAACGCGTTTCAACTTGTATTTTTATATAAATATTCATTAAAACCGAAAATTAACCTACTACTAAAACTATCCTACATGAATTTGATTTTTGCCTCACTTGTGACAGTTCGTTTGATATGAAACTATCGTTTTATGCGTTATTATTCTAAGATTATAAATATAAAAAAAAAACTTATAGATGCGACTCGCACTTGATTATATTTTTTTCGATAATGAATTGAGATTTGATCTCACTATTGTAATCTGTCAAAACTGCCATCATAGCGTGCCGGTACTGTATAAATGTAACTGCAGTGCAACACTTGTAAGTCTTTATTACTACAAAGTAATACTTAATAATTGTTGTGTATTGATAAGTAATTAGTTATTGTTAGTAAATAATTACGTTATAAACAGTTATAATTGGTTTTTATTACGTAAATATACTATTATTTTTCTTTTCTCCGTTCACGCTCCTCATAGATAACTTAGTTAATGATCTAGATTATTTCATTAAATGATCTGGTATACCATCCTAAGACCGTAGCTCTAGCCAGGGCGGTTCTACCTGAAAATGAGTGCTTTTTAAATCAAATCTATAGTCGGCCTTTTGAAGATAGGGTAAATAGTTATGAGTTGTTGTCGATAATTTTATCGATAGATTGTGAAAGAAAATTTTTGCCAAAAATGACTAAATTGTGAATGTTACGTTTCTAATGATTACTAATTACGTTACCTTCTTTATTTTTATTTTGACGGTGGGTCTACTAATATCTAGATAAATTTTTATTCATAAACATTTTAAGAAGAATAGCCGGAATTGATTATCTATATTGAATCAAAATGAAAAACTTTAAAATATGTCTCCTCTTTGTATTTTTCATAAACAGTTCTAAATACAGTGTATGTAGTATGAACTTACAAAAACTGACAATTCAAATGAATCGAGTTCTTAGGTTTTCGCGATTGTTACACATAGGAAATGAAACTATTTTTCCGGACTTAAATCGCGTATATTTGTTTTTTCAAACAAACCAACGTTTGTGGCCCATCACGGACCAACTGTCAACGGCAGTAGTTGGATGAATAATGGATCGAGGATGATTCAAATGAAACAAGTTCGGCTATGTATTCCATAAGCGTGACCAACATTCAGTCGATAGTCGATAGAATATTTATCGACTGCAATCACTAGTTACTCGCAAGCGGGCTACACTTTTACACAATAAACAGCTATTTTACTCCATCTACACAAAAGACAGACTATACACA